GAGTTTAACAGTTACCATCTCCGATGTAAAATGGCCCACAGTTGAAATTCCACAAAGTTGACGCCTCAGAGCAGTTAGCAATGGTTCAATGGCCATGGCATATAAAATGCCTGACATACTACATCCTTGCCGTATGCCTCTGCCTACACAAAAAGGTCTTGTGAGTGAACCACTTATTTTTAAGAAACTATAAATATCAGTATACAACAGTTTAACATAAAAAATAAACGAAGAACCAAATCCAAATGCTTCAAAACATTTAAAAAGAAACTCATGGTCCACACGATCAAAAGCCTTTTCCTGATCCAACGATAAAAACCCCACATTAACATTATTGTCTCTGGCAAATGAAATCAAATCCCGAAGCAGAAACAAATTATCAAATATTGTACGTTTTGGAATACAGTATGACTGGTCTGCGTGAATTATTGTTGATATGTAGAGTTTTAATCTATTAGTTAACGCTTTAGACAGTATCTTATAATCCACTCCAAGCAAAGACACTGGACGCCAGTTTCTTATATCCGCAAGGTCCCCATTCTTGGGTAGCAAAGTGATAAGTGCTCTTCGTAGACTCAGCGGTAAGGTGCCTCTTTCAAAGCACTCTAAAAAAACTGAGAACAAGTCTTCTCCAATCACTGACCAAAACTGTTTATAAAATTCTGCCGTTAAGCCATCCAAACCCGGAGCCTTGCCTGAGGATAAATCATTAATAGCAGCAGTCAACTCGTTCATGTGCAATGGCTGATCCAGCTTGGCCTTATCACTCTCCATCAGCTGAGGAAGATCCTGGAGAAGTGTTTCTGTTACCTCTCCATCACATGGTTCTGCACTATAAAGATCTTCATAAAAAAGCAGTGCTTGAGTAATTATTTCATGCTCATCAGTTGTTTCACCTCCTCCTGGAAGTTTCAGACGACTTAAAATTTTCCTGTCAACAACTTTCTTCTCCAAATTGAAAAAAAAAGATGTTGGAGCATCCATGCAATTAAAAGATGTAAACCTTGCACGAATCAGAGTCTCTTTGGCTTTCTCTTCCAAGAGATTGTGGAGAAGAATTTTCCTTGTTTCCAACGCTTCAACAGTACTTCCATCATATTGTTCGATGTTCAGCTGCAGAATATCTTGTTCAAGTTGTCTCATTTTGTTTTCAAGAGTATTCTTGTTGTGGGCAGTATACTTCTGACAAAACATCTTGACTTGAACTTTACTAATGTCCCACCACTGACTCAGGGACTTGTACTGAGATTTACTCTCTCTCCACACCTCCCAGAAAAGTGTAAAAGAGTGCACAAAGTTGTGATCCTGCAAAAGCTTATTGCTAAAGCGCCAATAGGGACATTTAAATGTGCTCTGTGCAGATGTGACATTGACAGACATATAATGGTGATCTGAGAAAGGAGTAGGAATAATACAACTATCAAAAAACTTATCACAAACACTTCTTTGTACATAAATTCTGTCGAGTCTTGCTGCCGAAACCCTATTCGAACTTACTCTTATCCACGTATATTGTTTTACATCAGGGAAAGCTTCCCTCCAAACATCCACAAGGTCATGATAAACTATTAAATTTCTAAAAACATCTGCTGACGGACTATGAGGTTCTTCATGATTCCTGTCCACTGTGTGATCTAAAGTGCAATTAAAATCTCCAGCCAAAACAATAATCCTACCCAGTGGGACACTGCTTAATGCTGTATGAAGTTTTCCGAAGAAAAGTGTACGTTCAGTCCCAATATTAGGGGCATATACATTGAAGAGTGAAAAATTGAGCCCATGTAAAGCAACATCTACTCTATGCATTCTACCTGGAAGAACATCAAAAACGCTCACATTCTGTTCCTTAAACTCAACTCCAAGAAGAATAGCCACTCCTGCACTGTTACTTGAACCATGACTCAAAACCACCTGTCCATCCCATTCACTCTGCCACTGGATTTGATTTATAACATCTGTGTGAGTTTCCTGTAGAAAAACAACACTACTTTTTTTCATAAAAATATAATCAAAAAGACTAGTCCTTTTCAAAGCCTCACGACACCCATTAATATTTAAAGAACTAAATCTCAAAGGTGCCATGAAAAAAAGTAAAAGATAACAAAACAATAAAAAAACTCCACAAGGGTTATTTGACAAACAAACTATACTCATTTTTTACTTTGCAAATTCAACGAACTTCTAACGTTACTCAGAAGTTTCTTGAGACGGTACCGTTTAGGTTTATCAAGCTCATCAAAGGAAGCTTTTCTCATAACCATGGTGCCGGACAATAAAAACAATTTTACATCTGGAAAATATGACTCAATTTTCGGTTTACGAAGTCCTTTAGTGGTATCCAAAAAGTGATTGATCTGCTGAAGCGAGTAGAGTTTGGTCTTACCTCCAGAGATGAGCTCCGAATCCGCTGCGTAATCTCTCATTAACTCCGTGTCATCATGTTCATTGTCAGAGTCATCCACTAAATCCACAGGGTCCTGAGATAAAATGTCATCTTTACTGTGTTTAGACGCTTCCTCAGTAGTAGTATCACTCACAATTTTATCAGGCTGCGCCTGTCCTCCATCGCAAATCAACTCAGTTTCAGGCATGGGCTGCAAACACACCTGTCCCGGGCTCGTCTCCGGCTGCGTTACAGCGGGGACATTACTCGGGCCGGCTTCCTCCTCAACAGCCCCCGCCAGGCCGTCTCCAGAGGCCTCCAGCACCGGTCTCCCCTCGGGCAAAACACCAGGCGCAGAAAGCGCTCCGCCCGGCTGCGGTTCTGACGCCACAGCGGTCGCAACAACATCCGCGCCGGCCGCCCTCTCGCTGTTCTCCGCACCTGCAGCCGGAGCTGGCCTGTCACGCCTCGGGCAAGTTTGTCTGACATGTCCAAACTCACCACACACAAAGCATTTCATTGACTCTGAACTTATAAAAACAGTGTAATCCTTTCCCTCAATACTCAACTTCACTGACAGATTTAATGGATCACTGAGAGTTCAGAATCATTAAAGCCTGACGCCGAAAAGACATCACGTGTCTAATCTCGGGATTTTTACATCCAAGAGGAATCATTCTAATAGGACTTACTATTTTACCATACCTCTGGAGTATTTGCTCTAATTTTTCATTTTGAACAAACGGCGGTATGTTTGATAAAATAACTTTCTTGGCTGGGCTTGACAAAGGCAAAACAGGCACAAAAATGTTTTTGATTATCAACCCGGTTTCAATTAAATCGTCCACCATTTGGCTTTCACTAAGAAAAAACACAATGGCTTTGTTCATACGGGAGGCAGATTTTATATTTCCACCACCGATCGCCGCACTCACGGCTATCAGGCAATCCTCCACTGACACCGCGGCCTCAGGCATACACTTACAACCATGCTTGATGGTTAACCGTGAGAGATCCGCCATATCCAACCCCAAAATCCTCACTCTCTGACCGAAGTCAGGGGAAAAAAACCTAAAACCTATTAACTATAAATAAGTTTAAATAAATAAATAAAGTAAAGAAATCTCACTCAAACAAGGAGACACTTTCACTCCCAACAACCGGCTCCTTCCACACTCACTCCGCACATGCGCAGAGAGAGAGAGAGAGAGAGAGAGAGAGAGAGAGAGAGAGAGAGAGAGAGAGAGAGAGAGAGAGAGAGAGAGAGAGAGAGAGAGAGAGAGAGAGAGAGAGAGAGAGAGAGATCACCTTGATGCGTCTGAGAAAATCTAAATATGCACCTCAGCTCTCAGAACTACATGGAGTAAACAAAAACCTCAAGCCCATATCATATCACTTACGTTCCACAAATGTATTACAATATACTATATACCTTATGTGAAATGGCAGGAAGAGTGCTTGGGTGCCCTTTAATGGAATAAGGAGAAAAGTGTTCTGCCGTTATTTAAAAAAAAAAAATATATATATATATATAAATGCAAGAAAAATGCCCAGAGCACTTTAAATAACACCGAATCAATTCCATTCAATAATCACAGTACTTTTGATATTTTTAAAAATGTATTTATTTGTTATTTATTTTGTGGTCATTGTTTTCAGCATGTATCAGAATCATTATCTATCATCATTAGTTAAAACCAAAATTAGGTAAAGACACTATATGCAAGGCTTCATAAATAACGTCCATACACACAAATATGTTCACAAAGGATATAAAAGCAAGACACAAATGAAATAGTTTTTCTTCAAGGGACCAGTGGGAAATGTAAGTGGGCAAGAGATTCTAGTGCAACAATTGTTCAAAAACAAATAAAAATGTTAAATAAAAATATTACAAGTGTTGATCATAGAAACAGTAAAAATGGCTTAAACAATGCTTTATAAAATATATTTAAGCAATATCACTCAAGTAAGAGTGTGGGTAATCACAGCTGCTAAGCTTAATAACATTACAGTTGCGGGTGTAATCACTTTTCAACAAAGTGCAGTAAATAGAGCATAATATAATATAGAGTTACTTACATTTCAGACATAATTTGCATAGTTTGTATAGCTGTAATGGGTTGTGTACTTGTATACTAAATAGTAGCGCTCTAGGAAAGCTGCTTGTCTAATCAAATTAGAAGTCTGAAACTACAGTAACTGTATAAAAACAAAACACAATGTAAATGACAAATCTCAAGCAAATGCTCATATCCAGCACAGCAGGTTGAACTTTGGGCACACAGCTACACCCTTAAAAAACAATAACAATATAATAATAATAATAACAACAAAAATGTCATATTTTCTTACTTTCTAAATATGTCTATAACAGCACAAACACATTCACATTTTCAAGTGCATTGACAGGTTGGGAGTGCATCTAGTGGGGAAAAAGAAAAATCATTTTGTTACTGTTCTAAATGGTTTTATAATGTAAGATACTGTATATTCCTTTAAATAACATTCCTTTACATACATATTTTATAAAACATGGGATCTCACGGATGCCTCTATGAGCAGATACAATCAGAAAATATATCATGTAAAATTATTCAAATAATCCTTTTGGACATTTCACAGTAAAAAAATAAAGATCTCTTGATTGAAATATAAATACAATTACTTGCACATTATTTGCTGTTTACTTCAAAATTAACATAGAACATGTTGCATTCTTTCCAGTGTAATATCCTAAATATATTTCTTTAAAATTGGGTATTGTGCAAGAAAATAAATTACAGTTGAACTACTGTAAATGTAAAGTGTGAATTTCATTATTTTTTTAAGCAAATTTAAAAATGCTCTTTTAAATATGCTCTGAGGGCAATCTTCAGGCCGTATACAGTTACAGCTTTAAATATTTTACATTCTGATAGATATTTAGTGCTTCGTTGTTCTGGTAAATTAAGTCCACGTTGGTTCCGGTTCTTGATCGAATGATGTCATGCGCACACTGGTGGAGGTAGACATACTGCTCCTGTTGTAGAAGAACAGAAAGAAAAAGAAAACGGTGTCAAAGTAAAAGTCTACTTCACTATAATCGACGGTTTCTTTGTGGAAGTCACATTCTATCAGCTCCAATTTCTATACTAATGTTTTCTGGGTTCATTTAAGGTCAATCAACAACATTTGTTGCAAAATGTTCATTACTGGAGACATATCCTTACCCATTTACCATCGATTTACCTGCATTACCATTGTCATCTACATCTGTGTCACTTTTATAAAATTATAAGCTTCGCATTTCTGCTTTCAAATCCTCTAAAAACTGGCTGCATTGTAAGTGCCTTACTGTTGCATCCATTTTTTATATTTTTTTAAAGGAAAGAAGGTTGAGGTTAAAGTTGGTTTGGTTTTGATAAACATTATGCCACAAATGTTGTTGACGGAGCTTAACTTTGAATGTTCCTCAACGTTCCTTTACCTCAGTCTGGACCATAAGAGCCCTGTGCATGCGCATGTCATTAACAACTCCGAAGATGTCCACCATGCTTTCTCTTTCAATCTGGAAAATCAGTTGGTCAATGGCAATGAAGGTCCCTGTTCTTCCCACACCAGCACTGGAAAATTCAGGAGGTCATATAACGAGATGAAGGTTTAATCAAACGAATGGCAGATTTAATATTTGATGTTTGCATTGCAATATAAATTCATGGATGTTTTGTTTATAGGAATCTCATTTACCTGCAATGCACCACAGTTGGAGAGTGGCGCGAGTACTGGTCCATGTGTTCCCTCACCAGGTGTCTGAAATCAATGAGGACTTCAGTGGTCTCTGGAACTCCGTGATCCGGCCACGCTGTGAAGTGGAACTGGCGGACGTAGCGAGTTTCTGCTGTTTTCACCTACAGTGATCAATCATATTATTGTAAAATATTACGGATTTCAAAACAACAACACAATTCACTCCTGTATGCTACTGAAAGTGGAAATGGAGGTATCAGATTTCTTCACATTTTTGATTCTGAAGTCTCTTATGGTCCAGCTGTCCAGTGATATATCTGAGGTGGTCGTCACTGAGATGTTATGATAATGATTCGTCTCAGATGGCCAGTACTTCTCACATTTCACCTGGAGAAAAATGACACGGATTGCTGGTTTGCTTTACTCTGCATATACATTTTCACCACTTTTCAGTGTGACTAATAATATTTCGATATTCAATTTTGAACTCACCCGTCCCTGCTCGTTGCATCTGGTCAGCATCACTATGCTGTAGACGTTCTTCTCCCAGATCATTCTCCAGAATTCATTCACTGTGACGGGCAACGGACCCTGAGCAGCTATAAACTCTTTTCTTGAATTGTAGCCCTGACCAAAAATAAATCAATAAATATGATTAGTGAAAAAAATGTATACAACATATCGAGAAGTCATGTGACCTGCTGAAAATTCCCTTTTGTATATGCACTCACTGGAATGTAGTTGGCATTGATGTAGTCATCAAAGGGGTTGCCACACATTGATAATCTCACCCTTGAAGAATCATCTGAAGAAGGAAAACATGATCCAATTAGTTTCAGTCAGTATTTATTCATTAGGAACTAAAAATGATGCTTCTGATTTAGTATAAATTCACACAGTATCTGTATATCTGTCATGTTCTGTTATATTCCAAGGGCTCTTATTTTGATATCATTTTTCCCACGTGATTTTCCGTTTTTCTTGAAAATTCCTGCGGTTTCTGATTTTCATCACCTGTGTCTAGTTTAGTTAAAAATGAAAATTCTGTCATCATTTACTCACCCTCAAGTTGTTTCAAACCTGTATGAATTTCTTTCTTCTGCTGAACACAAAACACGATATTTTGAAGAATGTCGATGGTTGGGTCGACAGTTGATGGACTTCCATAGTAGGAAAAAAGTACTATGGGAGTCAATGGGGTCCATCAACTGTAAACCCTAACGCTCAAAATACTTAATTGGTTTGAGTAGGAAAAACTTAAATTAAACTAATTAGTTCAGTCAAATTAACTTTTATGAGTATTTAGCACTTTCTTTTTCTTTCAAGTTCACAGAATGGATATATTTTAAGTAAACTGAACTGTTTCATTGTTTTGAGTTTTATGAAATTATTTCTTTTAATTTAGACGAACTTAAGTTTAACTGAAACGGCTGGGATGTATATTTCCCAGCATGCTTTTTCGATGGCACTCGAAAGGGAGAGTAAATGCTAAAATTAAGTGTAATACAATGTTTTTTTGTGCAAGATTAATGTTAAGCGGGTGATTTAGTAATGATTAATGTTTCGTTATGCTAATATAGAAGAATTTCTGTTAATGTTGGTTTTAGGATAGTTACCATCATGGTGACAAGTGGTGCATGAGCTTGATTTGAGAGCAAATAAAACCTTTACATTGCTGCAATTGTTACTGTATATAGCATACTATTGTTAAGATGTTAACAAAATAGTATGTTAGCAAACTAGCTTGTTAAAGCTAGCTAATTTTAAGTTAAATGTATGAATTAGTGTACTCAAACATTTCAAGTTAAGAACAATTCAAATGTACAAATACAAAATAAAAATATGTCAGTTCTGCTTACTTAAACTTTGAATTTCTTAACTTAAAAAATTAAGTTGCCTTAGTACTGATTGCCTTAAATTTTTTGAGTTGTGCCAACTTATTCGGGTTTACAAAATATCTTGTTTTGTGTTCTTCTTTTGTGTTCCTTGCATACAATTAGATCCACACATAAACTAGTCTATCAAGAATCTTTAACAGTAGCAAACATCAACTGTTCACTTCTTTCTGAGACTTTTAGGAGTGGGAAAATTTGAAATTTATGATGCTAAAATAAAGCTACATTTGCACTGCAGTTGAATGTGGGCCAAATATTTTTGAATGAAATTGAAATGACTAAAACAAAACACTGAACGGTCAATTTTCAATTGAAATCTGAGCCACGTCCATACATGGAAATTAACTGAAAATGTCTCTGCTTTTCTGCAATGTGACTTCAGTGTGAATAGTCCAGGTGCAATTCATGTAATTTATTCATCAGAATTTTGTTTTATGTCAACTCAAAATTTCTCATAATTCTGCACTAATGGAATTATTTGCAAAAATGGAAATCTGCACAAAAAACAGAGAGACTTGCTTTCTGATGGTATTTTCATTGTACATTCCACAAAATTTCACCACCTTTTAATACAATATGGAACAGTCAGTCAGTCTACTCACAAGGTAAAACATTTGTGTAACGATTCTTTGCCTTGTTTTCAAAAGACAGGGCGGCGTTCATTGGCTGCGCAGTTCCAACAGATTTCAAATCCTGCAACAACACAGCAATTCTTTAGACCTAGACTTTGAAAACTCTATTATAATTAATAAATAAATCTAAATGACAAGTCATGAGCACAAATGTTTGCTAATATATATATATATATATATATATATATATATATATATATATATATATGTAAGTATATATATGTTTATATGCGTTTCCCATGTGTACCTCATACTCTTCAGCAAAACCACAGTTGGAATCCGCATGTTTCCGCTTAAAATACTCTTCATAATCTTCTACTCTTAAACCACTATTACTGTGTATGATAAAACAAAGAAATCATTGAGGATGAAAACCTACAAAAATTCAAAGAACTTTTTTTTTTTACTTTCAAAATAATTACAAGTATGTGGGTTAATAATAAAAAGTTACTTATATTTTATCTCTGCAAATAGAAAGTAAAAAAGAATTAATTTACACTTTTAAGTTTTGTCAAATAAATATGAATCTATAAAATATATCAAACAAAGTTACCTAATGTTGTGTACAGGGATGTCAGGACATTGTTTTTTGGTTTGTCTGGAATAGAGAGTAATAGAGAAATGTTAATAAAATGAATCTGGATGACTACTGGAGCTCTGTCCAATCTTCATTTCTCTGATGATACTGGTAACTCACCTTCTTGAATAGAAGAAGACAAGGAGAGTGATAATCAAGAGAATACAGATCATTCCAAGAACTAAGCCAACAATCAGACCAGTTTTATCACTCTGAGGGCGTTCTTCTACCTCTGACTCTGACTCTAAAAAAAAATTAAATATGTTCCCAATAAAGAAACTGCAGTTCAAATGCCACTTATATTATTGTAACTGGTTCCATATCATTACTGGGTCAGAGAGGAGTTCACTTTGTAATGTGTTTAAAAATGTTAAAGAAGAATGCCATTATTGATTATATTAACCTTATCAGAGCATTTAATGATACTAGGTGACGCTAGTATATACTAAGATGCAAATAGTTCATCCTTAAAAAACATGATCTATTTTATTTATTTTGAAGAATATTACATTGATAGTCAAACCATTATTTTAATGTTTAGTCTGTGAAGGAGCTTTGGATGATGATCAGATGTGTTCAAAGAGGAAGAGGAGAGATATTTTAAAATTCTACATACTGGTAAGTTGTGAGATGCAGAAAGGGTCGCTTTGTCTTTGTGGATCTTCAGTAACAGCAGAGACACAAAATGTGTAATTGACTCCCGGTTTCAGACCAGTGATGCGATAGGAAGTGTTATTAGTATATATTGGAGATGCCCTGTTCTCTGTCCATTTAACAGTAAAGTTAGATATATTTCCAATTGGTTCATCCCATTTCAAAGACACAGATGATGATGTGAAATCAGTCACTGTGAGATTTCTGATCATTTCTGGCTCTGTGTGCGGAGAGAAAAACAAATAATATGTACTGGTGAAAGGGGGAATTAAAACAGATGTAAAAATAATACAATTATGAATTTATATATATATATATATATAAAGCCCCCATTTTTCATGAGCTGAACTCAAAGATCTAAGACTTGTTCTATGTACACAAAAGGCCTATTTCTCTCAAATATTGTTCACAAATCTGTCTAAATCTGTGTTAGTGAGCACTTCTCCTTTGCCGAGATAATCCATCCACCTCACAGGTGTGGCATATCAAGATGCTGATTAGACAGCATGATTATTGCACAGGTGTGCCTTAGGCTAGGTTAGGTATGCTTTACAGTTTCCTGGTCTGTGAAGTCACCCGTCAATGACGTCTCGTCACACCATTGGACTGATTCTATACGTGCCTCATGACGCAATCACACACAACATCTCGATGCAGCTCGAGTTCCCGAAAGGGAACAGGTATAATTTCTGAAGGAAATTGAATGTAACTTATAAGTGGCATTCAATATCATTCAGAAATTACACCGGTGAATAAATGCTATAATGTAGGCCTACTACAAACATAGCTATAGGCTATTTTAGTTCCCCTCACTCCACAACGAATCCTTTAAATTTAACAGTATTAAGGACAGAACAAGAATGGAAAAATATAAGTAATAAACAAGCCAAAACTAAATCATTTAAAGCGAAACTGAAAGCAACCGGCGTTGGGCTCACGTAGCCTAACTCTCTCATTCAAATCCAAATGTTTCCATATTCGCGATGTATTTGGATGCTAAACTATTATTTATCATAGGCTTTGTACTTCACTTCACCCGCCGCGTTCCAATATCGACAGAAAAACAATCCTCTTTACATGCACAAAAATGTGCTTGGAAACCCCACAGTGGAGCAGTGCTCCCTCTAAATTGCACGAATTGTACTACTACTGGTATTTAAATGACTATTTTATTTTGATAATGAACAGGCTGCGATGTAAAGTTTGCAATGCAAATATGTTATAACATACTCCATCATTTTGGTCATTCAGATAAGAGTAGGACATCATCGAAACTGCAAACTGCGAAAAAAAACGGCGAAACTTTTTTTGTGTACACTCACAATAAAACAGAACATTCTGCTTTTGTAAAATAAAGAAAACAAAAAGGATGTGCTTTCTGTCGTCTCGGTTTCCTTTCCATCAACTTGTTTGTGGAGCGCCGCGACTCACAAAAATGAATCAAACTCAGATGTCGCACAGTTTTTTCTTTTGTTTTGTTAATCTGTTAATTATTTAAGTCAAATATATTTTGTGTATTCCTTTTATATAGGCCTATAGACTCTGTTTTTATTAAAACAATATTTTTTTTGTGTGTGTGATGTAACTCCATTTTCCTTAAATCATCTTGGCGACCCATTTTTTTTAAATGGGGTTTGAAAACTTGTGGGTTACTTTATGCGTAGTAAGAACTTTTAGAATGTTACAAAACCTATAGAAATTAAACAACTGAATTGACAAAAAGGACAGCCATAAAAATCTTCCTAACACTCCTTCCTAACCACCCCCACAATAAAATTAAATTCTTCCACAATTCTGAAGGCCAACTAAACAAAATAACATGTAATTTACTAGTGGTTCTGACAAAATAATATTTGCTGCACTCTGTTTAAAACTGTTTAACTGATTTGAATGAATTATTAAGTTTGACTGATTCACTGACTCGCACATAAATACTCCAATTGTTTCATACTGGATGAATCAACACATTTTTTAATAGTCACTTGTTGCCACCTGCTGGCGAAACAAGGTAATCGCTCCAATAATTTTTGTCAAGTAAACTTTCAACAGGTGTTTGCCCTATTTTGATCATTGACATCAGTGTTTGTATGCAAACTGTAAACTTTTATCCCAGTATTTCTGTGATAATTTGAATATTTGTAACGCAAAACCATGATAATACCATGGTCAAACCCATAGACAGTAAAAGAAATGGACACAGCGACCCCATAGACTTCAACGGAGAAAAGTGAAGTCAATTAGAAGCACTTCCTGATGGCTGAGCGAAATGCGCAGGCTCAAACTGAGCTTGACGACGGAGATGTGACATGAGCAACCTGTCTGACAGTTGTAAGTCTTCTAGTAGCTGTGCCAAGAGGAATCTGAATCATTCCCTTCTGAATCTTGCAGAGATGGAGAGCGTAAGTAGGAGCTGTCCATGAGCTAGCAGCAGGAGCAACTTTATGACTCTGTATGACTTTATGCCTCCACGTCCCCGATTGCCCGCAAGCTTCTCCTCCTGTCTATACAGTAATTTCTCTACTGTGCGACAGAGAGTCGCGTTTTATGACGCAATCGTTAGCCTATTTTTACAAAAACTGCTTCTACGGGGCCATAACGTAAGATACAAGGTAATGGAGCCTTTTATACATTGTCGAGTTTCTTTAGAAATAAACAATGGACAAATGGAGTCTTTAAACGCCTCAGATGTAAAGTTATTCGCTGTCAAAGTGACGCCAAAATGAATGGAAATCAATGGAATGCTAACAGCAGGTTAAGGCTTGCTAGCCAATGGCGGCCCCCAGGGTAGCTTCAGTTTCCGGCTGGTGGATTACCCCCTTGATCAAAACAGAGCAGCACAAACCGATTATGCACATCGCAGGGGCAGAATGAAGTGCTGAAGCCGCCTTTCCACTGCAAAAGACATTCGCATACGATTGTTGCATTTCGCCTCCTAGCGGCAGTCACACGGAACTTTGAAATTGGCAGTGAAGCAACTGTTACTGTTCCTCGGCTTATTAAGCATGGTAAAACAATTTTAATGAATGTAATGCATGTATGAATACATCCACACAAAACAAATGACCATCAATAGGGTACATCTAAAATAAGAACATAGTAGATTTTATAGAGCTAATCAAAATAAATAGGCTATTGATTTAATAATTATAAAAAAAAATATTTCTGCCATATATCATATTGGAGAGAGTTTTACCGTGCTGAGAGACGTAACAGAATGCGACACGCTGTGTGAATGCTGAACGGAGAATAATTGACAGCCGCAGCGGAGGAAGGACAAGTTTCCGTGAACTGATTTAATTATGTAAATATTCTTCTGTCCCTCACATTAAGCTATGGAATGGCTTTAGATGACTTTGAATATAGTGCACAAAAGCTTAACTGATGCTTGTCTATTCTTTTGGTCTATGCATGACTATGTATGTCGCAATAATCACGGTTGTTAGATCATTAATCGCAATTAGACATTAATTATTTAATTATCCTGACAGGACTACATGAAGGTTCTGTTGTTTGACACAATTATCATAATGAAACGTCATTAGTATTTAAAAAATATAAAATACAGCTATTAGTTTACACAGTGTTGTCCATGAACAATACTCACTCTTAGGAGTAGTTGAAGAAATGGTTGTAGTGACAAGGGATGCTGTGATATATGGACGAATAAAGAAATAAAAACATTTATGAAATAGTACAAGCTAACAATGGCATATGTTCATACAATTAAGTTTTGTATTACAATCAATGTATTAACATCAATCAATGTAAACGTTTTAACTGGTAGGTGCTGATGTTTGATACTCAGGAAGTGACATGAAATAAGTACAATTAGTATTACAATTTTCTTAATATTTATTGACTTGTCTACAAAGACTATTTTTTGCATGCAAAGGAATTCTGCATTTCAAGAATTATTATTACACAAATATATAATATAGACATAAAAAGTGCACATTTTTTTTACTTAAAATGCTGATGTTTGACACTCAGGATGTGATTTGAAATACTGAAGTAGCCCTCACTTCACTGTGTCATCAGCTGCGCTCAAAGGATCTGCCCTTATGTTGTTAAAGTTTGGTTATTTACGAAATTAATAAAGATAAAGCAAGATGCCATGTTGATATATGTGTCATATGATTTATTTAAACTAAAAAGGTAAAGAAAAAATGTAAATTATTGTGAAAGATGTAAAGGGGGAGGAGAATTTATACGTGCATCAGGTTTCTCGACAAGAAAGACTTGTGCGTCCTCGCTCATAGCTTCTCAGGAAGCTTCCTCACTCCTCGTTCCTCGCGGTGCAATTAGAGAATTGAGATGTCCTTCAAGATGGCTGAGCTCATTTGGTTTCCAGGTCATAGGATGAAGGAAGGAGGCCATGGAAATGAGGAGGGATATTGAGAAGCACCCCTGGTGGGTGTATCAGACCCATTACCCGACAGCTCACCGATAACTTTTTTTTAGGACTGGAATTAATGACATGTTAAAAAATCTATTTCTCCTGCCCAGTTTTGGTCCTTTAGGGAGGTTTTATGGATTTTGTAGAGTTAGTGCTTGCAAAG